ACCTCAGGTGGTCCGCCTGCCTCAGCCTCCCAAAGTGCTGGAATTACAGGCGTGAGTCACCGTGCCTGGCCAGATTTTACCTAATCCTTGCCGCCTAACCGTGTCATAAATTTCATCTCAGAATAGGGTTGAGGGATGGTGTTAAGCTGTATATTGTACACTTTATTGGCTTTTCTGTTTGGTTTTTGTGTGTGTTTTTTTGTCGTTGTTGTTGTTTGTTTTTGAATCAGTCTCGCTCTGTCACCCAGGCTGGAGTGCAGTGGGCACGATCTCAGCTTACTGCAACCTCTGCCTTCTGGGTTCAAGCGATTCTCCTGCCTCAGCCTCCCGAGTAGCTGTGACTACAGGCGCCTGCCACCATGCCGGGCTAATTTTTTTTTTTTTTTTTTTTTAAGTATAGACAGAGTTTTGCCATATTGGCCAGGCTGGTCTCGAACTCCTGACTTCAGGTGATCCACCCGCCTCAGCCTCCCAAAGTGCTGGGATTACAGGTGTGAGTCACTGCGCCCGGCCGGTTTTTGTTTTTTAAATTCAAGGGTTTTTTTTTATTTTGTTTTTTGTTTGCTTTTTTGAGATGGAGTTTAGCTCGTTATCCAGGCTGGAGTGCAGTGGCGGACCTGGGTTCACCGCAACCTCTGCCTCCTGGGTTCAAGCGATTCTCCTGCCTCAGCCTCCCGAGTAGCTAGGACTACAGGCACCCTCCACCATGCAGGGCTAATTTTTGTTTTAGTAGAGACAGGGTTTCACCATATTAGCCAGGATGGTCTTATTTCCTGACCTCAGGTGATCTGCCTGCCTCGGCCTCCCGAAGTGCTGGGATTACAGGCTGAGCCACCACGCCCAGCCTAAATTAAAGTTTAAAGGTTCGTTTTCTAGGCTACACACTGCAACCTCCACCTCCTGGGTTCAAGTGATTCTCCTACCTCAGCCTCTGGAGTAGCTGGGACTATAGGCGCGTCCCACCACGCAGGGCTAATTTTTTGTATTTTTAGCAGAGTCGGGGGTTCACCGTGTTAGCCAGGATGGTCTTGATCTCCTGACCTCATGATTCGCCCGCCTTGGTCTCCCAAAGTGCTGGGAATACAGGTGTGAGCCACCGCGCCCGGCCCTAGGCTATACTTCTTCTTTTTTTTTTTTTTTTTTTTTTGAGTTTTTTTGAGACAGAGTCTTGCTCTGTCGCTCAGGCTGGAGTGCAGTGATGCGATCTCGTCTCACTGCAACCTCTGCCTCCCGGGTTCACGCCATTCTCCTGCCTCAGCCTCCCGAGTAGCTGGGACTACAGGTGCCCGCCACCACGCCCGGCAAATTTTTTTTTTTCTTTGTATTTTTAGTAGAGACGGGGTTTCACCGTGTTAACTAGGATGGTCACGATCTCCTGACCTCGTGATCCGCCCGCCTCGGCGTCCCAAAGTGCTGGGATTGCAGGCGTGAGCCACCGCGCCCGGCCCCTAGGCTATACATTTTTAAGCAGTCACGTATCCTACAAAAATATAGTGTTTCAACTACTGTTTTGGGAGAATTTTTTTTTTTTTTTTTTTTTTTTTTTTTTTGAGACGGAGTCTCGCTCTGTCACCCAGGCTGGAGTGCAGTGGCCGGATCTCAGCTCACTGCAAGCTCCGCCTCCCGGGTTCACGCCATTCTCCTGCCTCAGCCTCCCGAGTAGCTGGGACTACAGGCGCCTGCCACCTCGCCCGGCTAAGTTTTTTTTGTATTTTTAGTAGAGACGGGGTTTCACCGTGTTAGCCAGGATGGTCTCGATCTCCTGACCTCGTGATCCACCCGTCTCGGCCTCCCAAAGTGCTGGGATTACAGGCTTGAGCCACCGCGCCCGGCCCCTGGGAGAATTTTTAAAATTTTTTTCTTTTCTTTTTTTTTTTTAATTCAAGCCATCTGCCCTCTTTGGCCTCCCAAAGTGCCAGGATTACAGGCTTGAGCCCAAACGCTAGGCCCAGGAGGAATATCTTAAGCAAAACCATTGTCCTACTACAGTAGCTAGTATGTGCTTGTAATGTAACAATTATCAAACAATTATCAAATAGTATTTAACTGTTTGTATTTTCCCTTACCAAACAGTAAGTGCTTACCTGCAGGGTTTTTGTCTCAATTTTTGAGTCTAGGGTCTAGCTTCATGCTGAGTACACAGTAAATGCTCAATTAAAAACATTTTTTTTTTCTTTTTGGAGGGAGAGAGAGAGGACCGAAAAAAAGGAAAGAAAGGGAAAACAAAGGAAGAAAAAAGAGAAGGAAGTCCATTTAGAATAGGAAGTTTATCATCAAACTACTAAATGTCTCACTTAAATCATTTAAACCTGATTTAAATTATGTAAAATGTCTTAAAAATAGCAGCAGGGCACGGTGGCTCACGCCTGTATCCCAGCACTTTGGGAGGCCAAGGCGGGCGGATCACGAGGTCAGGAGTTCGAGACCAGCCTGACCAACCTGGTGAAATCCCATCTCTACTAAAAATACAAAAATTTGTCGCGCGTGGTGACGTGCACCTGTAATCCCAGCTACTCAGAAGGCTGAGGCAGGAGAATCGCTTGAACCCAGGAGGCAGAGGTTGCAGTGAGCCGAGATTGTGCCACTGCACTCCAGCCTGGGTGACAGAGCAAGACTCCATCTCAAAAAATGGCGGCGGGGCGTAGTGGGTCAGGCCTGTAATCCCAGCACTTTGGGAGGCCAAGGTGGGCAGATCACAAGGTCAGGAGTTCAAGACCAGCCTGACCAACATGGTGAAATCCTGTCTCTACTAAAAATACAAAAATTAGCCTGGCGTGGTGGTGTGTGCCTGTAATCCCAGCTACTCAGGAGACTGAGGCAGGAGAATCGCTTGAACCCGGTAGGCGGAGGTTGCAGTGAGCCAAGATTGCGCCATTGCACTCCAACCTGGATGACATAGTGAGACTCCATCTCAAAAAAAAAAAAAAAAAAAGCGTAGTATGATAGGGCGTGGTGGCTATTACCTGTAATCCCAGCACCTTGGAAGGCCCAGACGGGCGGATCACCTGAGGTTGGAAGTTGGAGACTGGCCTGATCAACATGGAGAAACCCTGTCTCTACTAAAAATACAAAATTAGCCAGGCGTGGTGGCGCGTGGCTGTAATCCCAGCTACTCAGGAGGCTGAGGTAGGAGAATAACTTGAACCTGGGAGGCGGAGTTCGCAGTGAGCCAGATCGTGCCATTGCACTCCAGGCTGGGCAACAAGAGCGAAACTCCATCTCAACTCCATCTCCGTCTCTGAATGAATGAATGAATGAATGAATGAAGCAAAGTTGTTTTATTATGAAATGCTGCAAAGTTGTTTTATTATGAAAATTTTAGGACCGGGCGTGGTGGCTCACGCCTGTAATCCCAGTACTTTGGGAGGTGGATCACCTGAAGTCAAGAGTTCGAGACCAGCCTGCTCAACATGGTGAAACCTCGTCTCTAGTAAAAATACAAAAATCAGCTGGGCTGGTAGCGGGCACCTGTAATCCCAGCTATTTGGGAGGCTGAGGCAGGAGAATAGCTTGAACCTGGGAGGCAGAGGTTGCAGTGAGCCGAGATCATGCCATTGCACTCCAGCCTGGGCAACAATAGTGAAATCCCACCTCAAAAAAAGAAGAAAGTAAATTTAAAAACGTAGTTTGTGTTTAAATATTACTTCAAATAGTTGTATGTCTTCCAGAATATATATTCCAAAATGAGCCCAGGCACAGTGGCCTCACACCTGTAATCCCAGCACTTTAGGAGGCAGAGGCAGGCAGATCACTTAGGCCAGGAGTTCAAGACCAGTCTGGCCAACATGGTGAAACCCTGTCTCTACTAAAAATACAAAAATTAGCTGAGCGTGGTGGCACACACCTATAGTCCCAGCTACTCAGCAGGTTGAGGCAGGAGAATCACTTGAACCAGAAGGCGGAGGCTGCAGTGAGCCGAGATCGTGCCACTGTACTCCAGTCTGGGTGACAGAGCAAGATTCTGTCTTTAAAAAAAAAAAAAAAAAAATTTACTTCTCATTATACCACTGTTCTCAAAGTGCGGTCCCCGGACTAGCAACATCCACATCACTGGGGAACTCCTAGAAATGGAAATTATCCAGTCTCTACCTACATCTTTTGTATCAGAAACTCTGAGAGCGGGGTCTGTCATTCTTTTTTAATAACTACTATAGGTGATTCAGATGCTGCTCAAAGTTTGAGAACCACCAAAGTGGTTGAAATGTGCTAAAGTATGGATGAAGAAGCACCAAATTCAATTTTTATATTGTTAGACAAAAAAAAAGATTAAACTTAACTTTAAGAAAACATTTTTTTCTCACTATTAAAGTTCCCCACCCCAGAACTTTTAGAACATATAGAAATTTAAAAACAACAGATGGAGGGAAAAAATCTTCAACTTTTCACTGAGTCATAAAATTTGGTTTCCTCTTGTTACAGTTTCCACCCCCCAAATCATCTCCCACCTAAATTGTCACTTTTTTTTTTTTTTTTTTAAGGTGTAATGTCTTTCAAAGTTTTTAAGTTCTGTTCGTGGCAGCCTTCCAAAATCCTTCTCTAAAAAGTTACAGGAGGACATTATGTCAATTAGTAAGAGCATATATCTGAAATCTGGCAAACATCAATTTCATTCCGACTGAGTCACTTAGTGATTAAGGTCAGTGTGTTTCAGCGTCTTTGAGCCTTGTTCCTTATCTGTAAACCCAAATCCTATCAGGGCTAATTGCGATGATGTCAGGAAAGCATTGATTCCAACCTCAGGCGCCGCTGGCACTTTCAGAGGATCCAGAAGCCTCAGCTAAGAGCACGGGAATGAGAAGCGGGTGAAGCACCTGATTGCCTCAACTAGTCGTTTCCTTCCTCCAGCACTCAAAGGTCAACCTTAGCTCCTTCCAAGGGTTCGAGGGGCAAAATTCGTCCCGAGGGACAGGGTACATGCATATTTTAAAAGGGTCCCCGAAGCGAGGGAACTGGCCTCTATCCTTTGCGAGGTCCCTTTAAGAACGTCGCCCTGTTGCCCTTCTCCCTCCGGCTCCTGGGCGGAGGCGGAAGCGGAAGAGGCGAGGGAAGTGTCGGTCTCCAAGATGGCGGCCGCGTGGCCGTCAGGTTCGTCTGCTCCGGAGGCCGCGACTGCTAGACTCCTCGGTGTCCTGTGGTTCGTCTCAGTCACTACAGGACCCTGGGGGGCTGTTGCCACCTCTGCCGGGGGCGAGGAGTTGCCTAAGTGCGAGGACCTCAAAGTGGGACAATATCCTCTGTGGGGAGCACTCCCCATGGAGGCGAGGTAGAGTTGGGGTCGCAGGTGGGTCGCTGCCCTCAGGACTGGCTAGGGCTGTACTGAGTGAAAACGATAACCTGATCTGTGGCTTCTAATGACTGAAGGATCCCTGAAGGTAAACAGAGTTGTGGAGATTGCAGGGCCAGAGGCCACCTTTTGTGATTTCCTTATGATTTTACTAGTCATTGGCGCTTCCTCTTCTGATCCACTTTTTTTTTTCTTTTTTATCAGTGTGCTTACTTGTTCAATAAAACATGTAGATCCTGAAGTATGCCAGGCCCCGTTCTAGACACTAGTAATACAAAGATGGGTAGTCTCTTACCCTGTAAATGTTTGCCACCTCTTCCTAGGGGGAAGACAAGTAGAAGACAAGTAGTAACGATCTAGCCGATGTGTGTTGCCCATTTATCGTTAACTTTATGTATATTATGTATATTACCTCCTGTTATCCTCACACTTCATGAGATGCTAGACTGCCAGTGGACAAATTTCTTTCTGTTTTCTGTTTCTTTTGTTTTGAGACAGGGTCTCGCTCTGTGCCCAGGCTGGAGTACAGTGGCGCGATCTCAGCTCACTGCAACCTCCGCCTCCCGGGTTCAATCAATTCTCCTGCCTCAGCCTCCTGAGTAGCTGGGACTACAGGCATGCGCCACCACACCGGGGCAATTTTTGTATTTTTAGTAGAGACGGGGTTTACGCCATGTTGGCCAGGCTGGTCTTGAACTCCTGGTCTCAAGCGATCCGCATCCCCATCGGCATGAGCCACCTCAGTGGACAAATTTCTGTTGCATTTTGTAACCTTGGATGACTTATTTGAACTCTGTTTTCTCATGAGTAAAAGCGTGGATAATTATGGCACAAACTTAAAGGTTTATTGTAATGTTTATGTATTATTATATTGTTTGTAGAGACAGACTTCTCATTATGTTGCCCAGGCTGTTCTTCCCGAATTCCTGGGCTCCAGTGATCCTCCTGCCTCAAGTATTATTTAGCAATACTAAAAGTATATTTGTACATATGCTTATTGACTTGGACAAACTAGCAGCCTTTATTTACATGTGAATATCAACATGAGTATATAATATGAATAGTAAAGGCATGATAATGTGTTGTGTTGGAATGTAGTCCATATTTCCTTAACTTTTTTTTACATATATTTGTAAAGATCCAAAAATAAATGATGCTACGCAAGAACCAGTTAACTGTACAAACTACACAGCTCATGGTAAGACTTCCAGAAACATGTCTTTAAAAATAATTTTGAAAACATTATTTCATAGGTCAATGTATGATCACTAAGGGCAATTAATAAATGCATTTTTTCTAAATTATAACATTATTACTCAGTTACCAGAGTAACTTAAAATTGGAGAACTAGCTAGGGGCTGTCAGTATTTAATTTAAAAAAGAATTCTACTTGTTCTGAAATGGTGAAGTTTCACCATATAAACAAAAATAGGGCCGGACGTGGATGTTCCCAGATTCAGTTAGGCAAGTGTACTTATATACTTTATTTTCCCCAAATGAATAAGCATATCATTCCCTCACATGGAAAGTCTTCCTTTTATTTTCCTTTAGCTCTCCACTTACATCATCTGTGAATACTTACCTGATAGTTCTTGGCTAGTACCATAATACCTACAAGTCCTTGATGCTTCCCAGCAACTTCATCACTATCGTTTCTGTCGCTTTGATAAATGTCATTTTTATTACTTTGATTATATTACTTTGGTTTATATTTGATTATATTTGTTTGATTTGGGGTGTGTGTTTATGTGTATTTTTTTTTTTTGAGATGGAGTCTCGCTCTGTCGCCCAGGCTGGAGTGCAGTGGCGCGATCTCGGCTCACTGCAAGCTCCGCCTCCTGGGTTCACGCCATTCTCCTGCCTCAGCCTCCCTAGAAGCTGGGACTACAGGCGCCCACCACCACGCCCGGCTAATTTTTTTGTATTTTCAGTAGAGACGGGATTTCACTGTGTTCGCCAGGATGGTCTCGATCTCCTGACCTTGTGATCCGCCTGCCTCGGCCTCCCAAAGTGCTGGGATTACAGGCGTGAGCCACCACGCCTGGCCTATGTGTGTGTATTTAGCATTCAGTTGGCACCAAAATGATTTTTTACATGTTTATAAATTTATCAATAATTCTTAAGTGGATTCAACATTTTATTCCAGAAGACACCTAACTGGAGGGCAGGAGGGCAGACTTCTTTTGGGGCAGAAATTCTTTTCAGTTGTATAATTTCCTTTGAAATCCCCATATCTACAAAAAAACACCCTGTAGGCTAGAAAAATGCTTTTTTTTTTCTTTTTTTGAGACAGCTGGCTGCCAGCTTCCCAGTATGAAGCGAGATGCTTGAGTTACAATAGTATTCACAGATTTCTAGCATCTTTCATATGAATGATTGAAACAACTATTTGAGAACTAACTCTTCTTTATGTGTAACTCTATTCTCTGTGTTCTGAAAGCTACGATATAAAAGACTTTGAAGTGTAAAACAGGCAAATCAAAGGATATTTATAAGTTAACTACAAAGGAAAGGATTACTTACAAAGTTCCTTTAAATGGCCAGGCATGGTGGCTCATGCCTGTAATCCGAGCACCTTGGGAGGCTGAGGCAGGCGGATCACAAGGTTGGGAGTTCGAGACCAGCCTAGCCAACATGGTGAAACCCTGTCTCTACTAAAAATAGAAAAATTAGCCGGGTGCAGTGATGGGCACCTGTAATCCCAGCTACTCGGGAGGCTGAGGCAGGATAATTGTTTAAACCCCGGGAGGTGGAGGTTGCAGTGAGCAGAGATCGTGCCATTGCACTCTGGCCTGGATGACAGAGCAAAACTCTGTCTCGCGGGGGAAAAGCATTTTCTTTAAATGTAATATATCTAAATAAAATAAATGTATACATACTAAGCAATGTCTCCTATATAAGGCATATATTATTTTCTTTCTGGGGGTCTCATTATGTCATCCAGGCTGGAGTGCAGTGGTGCCATCTCTGTTCACTACAACTTCTGCGTCGTAGGATCAAGTGATCCTCCCACCTTGGCCCCTGGAGTAGCTGAGACTACAGATGTGCACCACCACTCCCAGCTAATTTATTTTATTTATTTTATTTTTTGTATTTTTGGTAGAGATAGGGTTTCGCCATGTTGCCCAGGCTGGTCTCAAACTCCTGAGCTCAAGCAATCTGCCTGCCTAGGCCTCCCAAAGTGCTGGGTTTACAGGCATGAGCCACCAGGACCGGCTTCCTGGCTTTTTTTTTTTTTTTTAATTGTAGAGATGAGGGTCTCTCTATATTGCCCAGCCTGGTCTTGAACTCGTAGGCTCAAGCAGTTCTCTTGCTTTGGTCTCCCACAGTGGTGGGATGACAAGCATGAGCCACTGTGCCCAGCTAGTTGCCTTTTTTTTTTTTTTTTTTGAGACGGAGTCTTGCTCTGTTGCCCAGGCTGGACTGCAGTGGCCGGATCTCAGCTCACTGCAAGCTCCGCCTCCCGGGTTTACGCCATTCTCCTGCCTCAGCCTCCTGAGCAGCTGGGACTACAGGCGCCCGCCACCTCGCCCGGCTAGATTTTTGTATTTTTTAGTAGAGACGGGGTTTCACCGTGTTAGCCAGGATGGTCTCGATCTCCTGACCCCGTGATCCGCCCGTCTCGGCCTCCCAAAGTGCTGGGATTACAGGCTTGAGCCACCGCGCCCGGCCGTTGCCTTTTTTTAAAACACACAAAAGCTCGTGGGCTGGCTATGGTGAATCAATTCTAAGTCCTGATTGGAGATGGATATCAAAATAGCTCATGAAACATGCTTTTTGGTTCTAACATAGGAGAAAAATATTAAGAGTTGTGAAAAGTGTGAGTTAAGTGATCTCTGTCATTCTTCTAGCCAAAATTATTTTTCCTTTGTTTTTTTCACTGAGTATATGAAGAACTATTGTGAAATTCTCAAACTATGTTTACTTTTCTTTCTTTTCTTTTTTTTTTTTTTTTTTTTTTTGAGACAGAGTCTCTCTCTGTCACCCAGGCTGAAGTGCAGTGGCGCAGTCTCAGCTCACTGTAACCTCTGCCTTCCGGGTTCAAGTGATTCTCCTGCCCCAGCTTCCCAAGTAGCTGGGATTATAGGCGTGCACCACCAAGCCCAGCTAAGTTTTGTGTTTTTACTGGAGACAGAGTTTTGCCATATTGGCCAGGTTGGTCTTGAAGTCCTGACCTCAGGTGATCCACCTGCCTTGCCCTCCCAAAGTGCTGGGATTATAGGCGTGAGCCACTGAGCCCAGCCTAATTTTCTTGTTTCTTTTTCTTTTTTTTTGAGACAGGATCTCACTCTGTCACCCAGGCTAGACTGCAGTGGCACCGTCCTCGCGCACTGCAACCTCCACGTCCCAGGCTCAGGAGATCCTCCCACCTCAGCCTCCTGAGTAGCTGGGACTACAGGCACATGCCACTACACCTAGCTAATTTTTTGTATTTTTTGTGGGGGGTGGGGAGAGGTGGGATGTCTCCATGTTGCCCAGGCTGGTCTGGAACTCCTGGGCTCAAGCGATCCACCTGCTTGGCTTTCCAAAGTGCTGGGATTACAGGCATGAGCCACGACATCTGGCTGTTTAATTTTCATAAACTAATGTTTGGGTAGGGATGAACGTGAGCAGTGTTTTACAGAGGGGAGTTTGGAGCTAGTGAGTAGGAATTGGGACAAAAGGCAAGGAAATTCATCTGCGACAATAAATTGATGTGATCTTAAAACGGTTCCTGGTTAGCTCAGTATCATCCAACAAGCACATTTGTTTATTGAGAAAGTATTTATTGGTAATGAATAATTTAAAACTAAATTTAGTTTAATTATTGAGTTAAGACAATTTATATTACAAAATATTGTTATTGATTGAGAATTTGTTCATTTATTTATATTTATTTATTAAGAAATTATTACATGGCAGGCATCTGCTAAGCAGTATAGGTGATCTACAAAAGAAGACATAATCCCTGACCATAAGAAGTGTTCTGTCAGTCCAGGCGAGGTGGCTCACGCCTGTAATCCCAGCACTTTGGGAGGCTGAGGTGTGTGGATCATGTGAGGTCGGGAGTTTGAGACCAGCCTGGCCAACATGGTGAAACCCTGTCTCTACTAAAAATAGAAGAATTAGCCAGGTGTAGTGGCACACGCCTGTAGTCCCAGCTACTTGGGAGGCTGAGGCAGGAGACTCGCTTGAACCTGGGAGGTGGAGGTTGCAGTGAGCCAAGATCACGCCACTGCACTCCAGCCTGGGCGACAGAGCCAGACTCTGTCTAAAAAAAGAAAAAAACAAAGAAGTGTTCTGTCTAGGTTATATACACACATATCAGCAAGTATTTTCAATTTTTCTGTCACTGAAATACAAAAAATATTTAGATTTTACCTCCAGAAAATTTTGCTATGGTCCTTTGATAGAAGTCTTCTTTATTTTCTTAAGTTTGTATTATAGTATTTTTACAGAAAAGTGCATGTAGGTATAATTCAAATGATTTTCACAAATGACACACCTGTAAATGCTTCCAGATCAAGAAACAACATTATTAACATGCCAGAAGCCCTCTTCATAGTCTTTTATAGTCACTACTCTGCCTCAGTGGGTAACCACTATTTATTCTAGCTTCTGACTGTAAATTAGTGTTTCAAAGAGTATTATTTTTTATCTTTTTATTTGGAGATAGTTTCAAACCTACAGAAAAGTTAGAAGAATAAGAGTAGTACAAAGAACTCCACCGTAGGCTGGGCGCAGTGGCTCCCGCCTGTAATCTCAGCACTTTGGGGCCAAGGCTGGTGGGTCACCTGAGGTTGGGAGTTCAAGACCAGCCCAACCAACATGGAGAAACCCCGTCTCTACTAAAAAAAAAAATACAAAATCACATGTAATCCTAGCTACTCGGGAGGCTGAGGCAGGAGAATCGCTTGAACCTGGGAGGCTAAGGTTGCAGTGAGCCAAGATTGCACTACTGCACTCCAGCCTGGGCAACAAGAGTGAAACTCCATCTCAATAAACAAACAAACAAACAAACAAAAAAACCTCCATCTATATACTCTTTACTCAGATTGACCAATTGTTAACATACTTTCTCTCTCTCAATTTGTTTGTGTATATACTTTTTTCTGCCCCTATAAATCTGTGTTTTCCTTTAGAGATGTTCCAGATCAGATGTGGTGGCTCACACCTGTAATCTTAGCACTTTGGGAGGCTTAGGTGGGCAGATCACTTGAACCCAGGATTTCTAGACCAGCCTGGGCTATGTGGTGAAACCCCGTCTCTACAAAAAATACAAAAAGCTAGCCAGGCATGGTGGCGCGCAAGTGTAGTACCAGCTACTTGGGAGGCTGATGTGAGAGGACTACCTGAGCCAGGGAGGTGAGGCTGCAGTGAGCCCTGATTGTGTCACTGCACTCCAGCTTGGATGACAGAGCAAGACCCTGCCTCCAAAAAATAAATCAGTAAAAAATAAAAAAATGAAAATACAAATATTTTCTTAACATAAATACAGTTCAGTTATAAACTTTGGTAAATTTAATATTAATACATATGCTTTAATCTAATCCATATTCTTATTTTATCAGATGACCCAAATAATGCCTTTTTAGCATTTTCTCCCAGTACAGGATCCTAAAATCAGATTTTACATTTAGTTTTCTTTAAATTGGTACATTTCCACAACTTTCTTTGTCTTTTATGGCATTGACTTGCATGTTTGATGCCTACAGCCTCCCTTTATTTAATAGAGTGTTCCTCATTGGGATTGTTTGATATTTCCTTTTGATTAGACTTAGGGTATACATTCCACGCTGTAAAATAACGTAATTGATGGAGTGTCCTTCCCAACATCTCGCATCTGGGGGCACGTGATAAGTATCTCTTTCTCCTTGGTGATGCTAATTGTTTATCACTCAGCTTTTTCTACTGTATAGTTAGTATTTTTTTCTTCGCAATTATAAATAATCTAAAGGGATACTCATTAAGGCCATGCAGATATCTCCCTACCACCCCCAGATTTATATCCCATTAATGATTCTGGCCTGAACTATTCTTTTTTTATAGAATGGTCAACACTTCATTCCATAAAATAGAAAAAGTGTTCCTTGGAACTATTCTTTACTCTGATAGTTGCAAAATGATTATTTTCCAAATCTAGCACTCTCAGAGGAGAACTCTTTTAATGCTAAAAATATGGAGATGGGGTTGGCTCTTGCCAACTTTATTTTTTTTTTCTCTTTTTTTTTTTTTTGGAGATAGGGTCTCACTCTGTAACTCAGGCTGGAGTTCGGTTGCAGGATCTCTACTTACTGTAACCTCCACCTCCCAGGCTCAAGTGATCCTTCTACCTTAGCCTCACCACACCCGGCTAATTTTTGCATTTCTTTTGTAGAGATGGGATTTCACCATGTTGCCCAGGCTGGTTTCTAACTCCTGAGCTCAAGCAATCCACTTGCCTTGGCCTCCCAAAATATTGGGATTATAGGTGTGAGCCACCACACCTGGCTTTTTGTTGTTGTTGTTGTTGTTTTTGGAGACACAGTCTTGCTGCTCTGTAGCCCAGGCTGAAGTGCAGTGGTGGGATCACGGCTCACTGCAGCTTCCATCTTCAGGACTCAAGCGATCCTCCTGCCTTAGCCACCGAAGTAGCTGGGATTATAGACATGCGCCACCAGTCCCAGCTAAGTATTTTTTTGCAGAGTTGCCCAGGCTAAATTTAGTCCTTTTTTTTATTGTTATGAAACTTCATTGTCTGATTACATTATTTCTGGTTTAGCATTTCTGTATTTGAAAAACGTCGCTCCTTTCTATGCCAGGTGTGGTGGTGGTGTGTGCCTGTAATCCTGGCTATTTGGTAGTCTGAGCCTGGAGGATGTCTTGAGCCCAGGAGTTTGAGGCTACAGTGAGCTGTGATCATGCCACTTCACTCCATCCTGGGCAAGAGAGTGTGAGACCCTGTTTCTAAAAAGAAACCAATCAAACAAAAAAAGCCACATTGCTGCTTTTTATAATGAATACTGTGTAGTTATTGGCTTCAATTGATATTATGTAAATCCTAGACGTTGGTTAGAACCACACCTTTTTGCAAGAAAACTGCAAGTTGAATCATTTGCAGGCTTGTAGCATGTTGCTTAATTTTGCTAGTTAACATTTATTGATAACTGGCTTCTTTGGTCTTGTCATATTGATTTGTTTATTTTTGCTTATTGCTGAAATCAGTGTTAGCGTGGGATAATTATGATATAATGGAAAGAGTATTGATTAAGAGTAATGAGTTTTAGTCTAGGATTTAGAGAGTATTATTTGCTCTTTAGTCAACTCATTTAATTTCTTGGAATCTCAGTTTTCCTGTTTGTGAAAGGAAAAATATTATGAATTTGCTTACTTAATAAGTTCTTCTTTCTTACAAGGATGAAATGAAATCGTTATAAAGTATGTCTAAACAAATAAACTCTAGGGTTGTAGGCTTCTTTTGAATTGATTAATTTCATATAATAAAATCTTATGTTAATTTTATAGCCACTTAAAATGTTATATTCATTTCTTTTTTAGTCTTCTAAGTGTTAAATTTCTTGATTTCCTAGAGTGGGGAACCTAGCTCTCTTTTTTTTGTGTGTGTATATATTTATTTTTTGGGGGGGGGGTAGGGGTGTGGGAGGTGGGGGGTGGGGTAGAGAGAGGCCTTGTTCTGTCACCCGGGCTATAGTGCAGTGGCAGGATCATAGTTCACTGCAGCCTGGATCTCCTAGGGTCAAGAGATCTTCCTGCCTCAACCACCTGAGTAGCTGGGACCACAGGCACATGCCACCATGCCTGGCTAATTTTTTTTTCTTTAGAGAGAGAGTCTCACTATCTTGCCCAGGCTTGTCTTAAACTCCTGGGCTCAAGCGATCCTCCCTCCTTGGCCTCCCAAATTGCCGGGATTACAGGGATGAGTCACTGCACCTGGCCCCTAAACACTTTTTGAATACCTTTTCTAACCAAGCGCTATGCTTTACACAACATATGCCTGCCTGCCTTCCCTCCCTCCCTCCCTCCCTCCCTCCCTCCCTCCCTCCCTCCCTCCCTTCCTTCCTTCCTTCCTTCCTTCCTTCCTTCCTTCCTTCCTTCCTTCCTTCCTTCCTCTTTCTTGTCTCCTCTTCTCTTCTCTTTTCTTTCGACAGTCTTGCTCTGTCACACAGGCTGGAGGGCAGTGGCACAATCTTGGCTCACTGCTATGTCTGCCTCTCAGGCTCAAGTGATCTCTTACTTCAGCCTCCCAAGTATCTGGGACCACAGGCACAAGGCACCATGCTTGGCAAAGTTTTGTATTTTTTTTGTAGAGATGGAGTATTGCCATGTTGCCCAGGCTGGTCTCAAACTCCTAATCTGCCCACCTTAGCCTCCCAAAGTACTGGGATTACAGGCATGAACCGCTACACTAAGCCCTTTGGTACTATTTTTACCTATAAAGAATCCAAGGTTCTGAAAGGAGCAATGTCCAAATAAGTTGTTCTTATTCCAAAGGTCTTGTTCTTTGCATTATGAGGCTATAAAGCTGTTAAGGCAGTGCTTGCCTGAGTCTATAAGTGTTGCTTCCTCTTATTATGTCATCTGGGTTATGAGGAAGGATCAAGATTGCTTAAATTCTGAAATAATCTACTATATCAAACCCCAGAGGGAATCAAGAAACAAATACATTTAGAATCAATGAAAATAATTTATGGCAGCAACTATCTATGATAGTTGATATATGCTAAAAATGCAAACTCAGATTGTGTTAAAATAATTTAATAGATAAATTGCCCAACGAATTACCAACAAAAATTTGAGCGGTGTTCTTAATTCTGGAGATGAAGTAAAGGGCAGTAATATTGTACATTTCTTCCCTTGGTACCTTTATCAGAGGCAGGAGATTGAATTAGATTAGCCATGCATCTAATCCAGTGTGGCAACTCTTGTATTTTTGTGTTAAGAGACTACTATACCATTTTATATTTATCTTGCATGTAAGTACATACATAATGTCACTTTTCCTGTCTAAAATTAAAGGCTTGTGTCATATTATATTGGCAGGTAGTTTGTTATAACATATTTGCTAGTCTTAGAAATAACAATTACACACTGTCTCTACAGAAAAAAATAAAAGTTTCTTGACTTTTTCTGCCTTCAGTTTCCTGTTTTCCAGCACCTAACATAACTTGTAAGGATTCCAGTGGCAATGAAACACATTTTACTGGGAATGAAGTTGGTTTTTTCAAGCCCATATCTTGCCGAAATGTGTAAGTACATTACTGACACTTAAATTTTCAGATTACTTGCCTATATTATATCTTAATTGCATCAAGAGATGAGATAATTTATGGGGACTATCCGGAAAATATATCTTTTATCTTTTTGCCTGTGTCAGAAAACCTTTAAGTGTTTGTTTTTTGGTTTTTGAGACAAGGTCTTGCTCAGTCACCCAGGCTAGAGTGCAGTGACATGATTACTTCTCACTTCAGCGTCGACCTCCTAGGCTTAAGCAATTCTCCCACCTCGGCCCCACAAGTAGCTGGACTACAGGTTTGTGCCACCATGCCTGGCTAACTTTTAATTTTTTTGTAGAGATGAGGTCTCCGTATGTTTCCCAGGGCTGGTCTTGAACTCCCGGCCTCACATGATTCTCCCGTCTCGGCCTCTCAAAGTGCTGAGATTTACAGGCATGAGCCACTACACCCAGCCAAGTGTGTATTTTTTTTTAATAAATGCATTATAAATGCATTTTTTATAAATGCATTATAAGTGTGTATTTTTTTAAATTATTGGCATTATATTTTCAGCCTAAAACTGTATATTGTTACAATTCTATTTGATGGCACCTAGTTTTGATTGTTTCAAGAAATAAAACACTGTACAGATAAATTGAACCTTAAAAAGGAAAAAGGAAAAAAAAGAAATAAACCACCATTAGACTATTGCTACAAGTCTATCAAATCAAGTAGAGCTGAGTAGTCCAGTATGTGGGACAAATAAAGACTATAAATGGCTTCATGCCGTGTTAATTGAGGTCAATCAGTTTATACCACTGAGTTATGAAAAAATTGTCTTCAAAATGTGGGAGATTTCTAGAGTACAAATAGCAATTGTGTACCTATTGTATCAGAAAAACACTAATTTTTTGCACATAAAGGGCATTTTAAACTTCGTTTTATTCTTTGTAATAAATATGGATGATGAATGGTAATGTTAAACAGAATTCAAAAGTTATCAGTTTGGCTAGCTGGGCACAGTGGTACATGCCTGTAGTCCTAGCTACTCAGGAGGCTGAGGCCAGAGGAGCTCGGAAGTTCAAGCTCAGCCTGGGCAATATAGTGAGATACTGTCTTTTATAAAAACAACAACAAAAATGATCAGTTTGGGATACTAAGACAAACGGCTTTCTTTTGTTAGGAATTTCTCTGTTTAAAGGACTTTTAGACCTAGTGTGGTGGCTTACTCTTGTAATCCCAGCACTTTGGGAGGCCAAGGCAGGAGAATCACTTGAGGCCAGGAGTTGGGGACCAACCTGGGCAAAGTAGGGAGACCCTGTCTCTACAAAAAATACAAAAATTAGCCCAGTGCGGTGGTGCTTGCCTGTGGTCCTAGCCACTGGGAGGCTGGGGTGGGAGAATTACTTGGGCCCAGGAGCTTGAGGTTGTAGTGAGCTACGATCGCAGTAACAGAGTGAGACCTTGTCTCTAAAAAAATTAAAATTAAAAATTTTTCAAAAAGGACTTTTGGCCGGGCGCGGTGGCTCAAGCCTGTATAATCCCAGCACTTTGGGAGGCCGAGACGGGCGGATCACGAGGTCAGGAGATCGAGACCATCCTGGCTAACACGGTGAAACCCCGTCTCTACTAAAAAATACAAAAAAGTAGCCGGGTGAGGTGGCGGGCGCCTGTAGTCCCAGCTACTCGGGAGGCTGAGGCAGGAGAATGGCGTAAACCTGGGAGGCGGAGCTTGCAGTGAGCTGAGATCCGGCCACTGCACCCCAGCCTGGGCGGCAGAGCAAGACTCTGTCTCAAAAAAAAAAAAAAAAAAGGACTTTTAAGTTTGATTTCTCTTTCTGCTAAAGCTTATTATTCATTCTTATATTCCTGCTTTGTACCAAAAACATGATTTAGTGTTACCTATTTTTAATTATTGGCATTATATTTTCAGCCTAAAACTGTATGTTGTTACAGTTCTATTCGATGGCACTTAGTTTTCGTTGTTTCAAGAAATAAACCACTGTACAGATGAATTGGACCTTAAAAAGGAAAAAGAAAAAAAAGAAATAAACTACCATTAGACTATTGCTACAAGTCGTTAGAATTCTTCGCAAGAACTTTTAGCGTTCTGTCTTTCCTTTTGATCCTACCTCATTGATTTAATGAGGGGCTTTTTATACAGCAAGGGGATTCCATCTTGCTATATAATCCTAAGCCTACCACTGATCTTCTTGGGTTCCAAGATTTCGCATTAGTCGAGTAAAAATTGTTAAAAAGGAATAGTTTCCAGTGTACTTAGATATAGTTTCATTTTTTTTCTGTTACAGAGGTAAGTTTAAAAAATAAGGTTTTGCTGGGCGCGGTGGCTCACGCCTGTAATCCCAGCACTTTGGGAGGCCGAGGCGGGCGGATCACAAGGTCAGGAGATCGAGACCACGGTGAAACCCCGTCTCTACTAAAAATACAAAAAATTAGCCGGGCGCGGTTGTGGGCGCCTGTAGTCCCAGCTACTCGGGAGGCTGAGGCAGGAGAATGGCGTGAACCCGGGAGGCGGAGCTTGCAGTGAGCCGAGATCGCGCCACTGCACTCCAGCCTGGGCGACAGAGCCAGACTCCGTCTCAAAAAAAAAAAAAAATAATAAGGTTTAGTTAATATTTAAATTTATAGATATTTTTACCTTAAACATTCTAAACAACTGATGTGTTAAATGCTGGTCCAAGATATAGGTTATAGTAAGAAAATCATCTGTTGAGAACAGCTAACCACTCAGGCTGGAACTTACAGGTTTATATCATTTGTAATGCTAATACCAGAATGGCCTGTTACTTAATTTCCAAGTTGTTGCTGATTTTTCTTTCAGTGTCTCAAAATGGATTAGGCTGCATACAACTGAGCTGCACTAGACATACTCATAAGTATTTTTTATTTATTTATTTTATTTTATTTTATTTTATTTTTTTTTTTGAGACGGAGTCTCGCTCTGTCGCCCAGGCTGGAGTACAGTGGCCGGATCTCAGCTCACTGCAAGCTCCGCCTCCCGGGTTCACGCCATTCTCCTGCCTCAGCCTCCGGAATAGCTGGGACTACAGGCGCCCGCCACCTCGACCGGCTAGTTTTTTTTGTATTTTTTAGTAGAGACGGGGTTTCACCGTGTTAGCCAGGATGGTCTCGATCTCCTGACCTCGTGATCCACCCGTCTCGGCCTCCCAAAGTGCTGGGATTACAGGCTTGAGCCACCGCGCCCGGCTTATTTATTTTTTTTGAGACAGAGTCTTCCTCTGTAGCCCAGGCTGGAGTGCAGTGTCACAATCATATCTCATTGCAGCCTCAACCTTCCAGGCTCAAGGCATCCTCTCATCTCAGCCTCCCAAGTAGCTGGGAATACAGGTGCATGCCCCAAAGCTCGGCTAATTTTTGTATTTTTAGTAGAGATGGGATTTCACCACGTTGCCCAGGCTGGTCTCGAACTTCTGGGCTCAAGCGATCAGCCCGCCTCAGGCTCCCAACATGCTGGGATTACAGGCATGAGCCACCATGCCTGACCCTTATAAGATATTGGTATCAATTATGGTAAGAAATATAACCATCAGGTAAACTAGATATTCCAAGGCTACTGGCCAGCTTATTTCCTTCTTACAATAAAGTTTACAATTTCTTTTTTTTTTCTTTTAAGATGTAGGTTTGCTCTTGTTGCCCAGGCTGGAGTGCAATGGTGTGATCTTGGCTCACTACAACCTCTGCCTCCCGGGTTCAAGCGATTCTCCTGCCTCAGCTTCCCAAGTAGCTGGGATTACAGGCATGGGCCACCATGCCCGGCTAATTCTGTATTTTTAGTAGAGATGGGGTTTCTCCATGTTGGTCAGGCTGGTCTCGAACTCCTGACCTCAGGTGATCCACCCACCTCGGCCTCCTAAAGTGCTGGGATTACAGGCGTGAGCCACCGTGCCCGGCCTAAGTTTACAATTTCAAGACAGAATTTGCAGCTCGGCATGGTGGCTCATGCCTGTAATCCCAGCACTTTGGGAGGCCAAGGCAGGTGGATTGCTTGAGCTCAGGAGTTTGAGACCAGCTGGGCAACATGGCAAAACCCCATCCCTACCAAAAAATACAAAAGTTAACTGGTGGTGCATGTCTGTAGTCCCAGTTACTCGAGAGTCGAAATCATGGCTACTGCTCTACAGCCTTGTTGACAGAACCAGATCCAGTCTCAACCAAATAAAAGAAAAAGAATGAGCATTGCTCATCAGAACAGTGGGAGTTAGACTGATGGGTAATTTTGATGGTAAGAATGGCAAAGCTAAGATAACCTGATAAATAATTTTGCTTTATTGGGATATTAGGTACGTGCCTACCAAAAGGCCAGCTGCTGTGCAGCTACTGAAAAAGACTCAGTGATACATTCTTATTCGTTAGGTGTCCCTTTTCCAGTTTCATATTTTCTTTGTACTCCTGTTAGCATATTGTTTTTAAAACTATATATAATAGGTTAATACTTGGTTAAAACTTCATCTTAGTATTGCAAATATTCTGTAATGTATTCTTCAGAAACTAAAGTCTGATAACCATCCTGATTGATGACCAAGCCACCCACCTATTTACACTGGCCATCTATATTAGTATTATGTCATAGTTTCATTTGGGTTAACTTGGAGGTCTGGGTGGTGTTGGTGACGCCATAGTTGTTCCATGCAGTCACGAATGGGCCTTGCTCCTTTCATCTTGTGGCTTTGCTTTCTGTAGTCCTTTGAGTCCTTTCCACTAAGCCAGCAGGTGGGAAAGAGGAGAGGGAAACTTTTATAGGAGTATTTTATGGGCCAGACTTGGAAATGGCATACACTTCCATCCTCCTTCCACTGGCCAAAACCCAGTTATGGCTGCACTTAAGTGCAAGGTGAGCTAGGAAATGTAGGTTAGCTGTATATTCATAAGAAAAAAAGAGAAATGAGCCTGGGCGTGGTGGCTCATGCCTGTAATCCCAGCACTTTGGGAGGCTGAGGCAGGCAGATCGCTTGTAGTCAGAAGTTCAAGACCAGCCTGGCCAATATGATGAAACCCCATTTCTACTAAAAACACAAAAATTAGTTGGGTATGGTGGTGCGTGCCTGTAATCCCAGCTACTCAGGAGGCTGAGGCATGAGAATCACTTGAACCTGGAAGGTGGAGTTTGCAGTGAGCCAAGATCAAGATTGTGCCACTGCATTCCAGCCTGGGCAACAGAGAAAGAGAAATGGCTCGGTGAATAACTAATCTCTGCTATACCACCAGTTTTCAGATTATTCTTTAGGGTGATTTACTTATATAGATAATTGCTTTTCTAATTTCATTTCCCTTCCCAGCCAAACTTTTTAAAAGTTGTTTTGATAATACTTATCTGTTACAGGATTTTCTGTCTAATGTAGTATGGCTTTTGGCCATGCTGAGATTCACCAGCAATCTTTGTTGATATATCGAATGAATGTTTACAGTCCATGTCTTAATCTTTCTACAGCATTTGGCTATTCCCTTCTTTCTCTCTCCTCTCTTTTTAGTATAGAGGCAGGGTGTCACTATGTTGACCAGTCTTTTCTGTCTCAAATTCATGGCCTCAAATGATCCTCCCACCTCATCCTCCTAAAGTGCTGGGATTACAGGTGTGAGCCACTGTGCCCAGCCTGGCTGTTTCCTTTCTTAAAATACTTTCTTGGCTTTCTTAAAATACTTTCTTGGCTAGGCCCGGTGGCTCAGGCCTGTAATCCCAACAGTTTGGGAGACTGAGGCGGGTGGATCACTTGAGGCCAGGAGTTTGAGACCAGCCTGGCCAACAAGGTGAAACCCCATCTCTACTAAAAATACAAAAATTAGCCCAGAGTGGTGGTGGGCGCCTGTAATCCTAGCTCCTTGGGAGGCTGAGGCAGGAGAATCACTTGAACCCCAGGAGGTGGAGGTTGCAGTGAGCTAACATTGTGCCATTGCACTCCAGCCTGGGCAACAAGTGTGAAACTAAATCTCAAAAAAAAAAAACAAAAACCCTAAAACACTTTCTTTTTTTGGCTTATAGTATAAAACACTCTTCTGTGTCCCTTCATTCTTATTTCTTTGCTTCTTCCTTAAGTCTTGATGTCCTTGGTCCTTTTTCCTTTTTCATTCATCCACCCCTTTGGCTTCTCTCACCATCTTTGTATATATATGTGCCATATAAAAAGTTGGTGATATGTTTTATATTCAATTTTAGACCTCAGATTTAATATATATAAATAGCCGGGCACAGTGGCTCATGCCTGTAATCCCAGCACTTGGGGACGCCAAGGCGGGCAGATCACCTGAGGTCAGGAGTTCCAGACCAGCCTGGGTAACACTGTGAAACCCTGTCTTACTAAAAATACAAAAATTAGCTGGGTGTGGTGGCGGGTACCTGTAATCCCAGCTACTCGGGAGGCTGAGGCAGGAGAATTGCTTGAACCCGGGAGGTGGAGGTTGCAGTAAGCCGACATTGTGCCATTGCACTCCAGCCTGGGTGACAAGAGCGAAACTCTATCTCAAAAAAAAAAACAAAAAACAAAATTATGTAAAACATATATATGCTTATATATAATATATACTAGTATATTGTATATAGTAATATATATATAACATTACCATCTTAAATATGCAATATAATATTTAAAATATATTACCATCTTCATATATAATATAATTATATATTTTATATCATATATAACATATATATAAATATGGTAATATTCATTAGGCACAACAGTGGGAGAGCTGGACACACTGGCATGTGACTACAGGCACATGTCACTGTGCCCAACTCTCCCTTTGTTTTTTTTCTTTTTTTCTTTTTTGTTTTTTTTGGAGACAGTCTTGCTCTGTCACCCAGGCAGGAGTGCAGTGGCGTGATCTTGGCTCACTGCAACCTCTGCTTTCCAGATTCAAGCGATTCTCATGCCTCAGCCTCCCAAGTAGCTGAAACTACAGGCATGTACCACCACGCCTGGCTAATTTTTGTATTTTTAGTAGAGATGGGGTTTTACCATGTTGGCCAGGCTGCCAGTCTCAAACTCCTGGCCTCATATGATCCAACCGCCTCAACCTCCCAAAGTGCTGGGATTATAGGAGTGAGCTACCACATCTGGCCCCATTGTTTCTTAAGCTCTCTAACATATAAAATATATTGCAATCTTTATATATATTGCATATATATATAAGTCCTAAAATTGAATTGAATTGAATTGAATATCAGTATGTTAACTATCTTTTATATACTATATATATAGGGGTCTAAAATTGAATTGGACCAGGCGTGGTAGCTCATGCTTGTAATCCCAGCACTTTGGGAGGCCAAGGCGGGTGGTTCACTTGAGGCCAGGCGTTTGAGATCAGCCTGGCCAACATGGTGAAACCCCATTTCTACTAAAAATACAAAAATTAGTCAGGTGTGGTGGTGCGCACCTGTACTCCCAGGTACTCGGGGGGCTGAGGTGGAAGAATCGCTTGAACCTGGGAGGCAGAGGCTGCAGTGAGCCAAGATCACACCACTGCACTCCAGCCTGGGCAACAGAATGAGATTCCATCTCAAAAAAAAAAAAAGAAATAAAATTGAATTGAATATCAATATATTACCATCTTTATATATATTTTATATATATAAGGTCTAAAATTGCAGTTGTTTTCTTTTTCTTCAAATTCTTTCCTCCTTCGTCTCATTGAATGGCACCAGTTCTACCCAGTTTCTTAAGCAGAAACTTTTGGATTCATTACTTATTTTTTATTATTTTTTTGAGACAGAGTCTCACTCTGTTGCCCAGGCCAGAGTACAATGGCGCGATCTTGGCTTACTGCAACCTCCGCCTCCTGGGTTCAAGCGATTCTCCTGACTCAGCCTCCCAAGTAGCTGGGATTACAGATGCCTGCCATCATGCCCAGCTAATTTTTGTATTTTTAGTAGAGACTGTGTTTCACTCTGTTGGCCAAACTGTTCTCGAACTCTTGACCTCAGGTGATCCACCCACCTCGGCCTCCCAAAGTGCTGGGATTACAGGCGTGTGCCACTGTGCCCGTCTTGGAGTCATTCTTGACTTCTCCTTTTCCCTTATTCCCCACATGTAGCCTGTTTGCTTCTGCCTTGTTAGTATTTCCCAATTTTGTTCACTTCTTTCTCCCACTGTTACTGCCCATTAGATTTCAGCGTTAGTTTTTGCATTGCCTTCTAAATTATTTTTCTGCTTCTAGTTTGGCGCCCTATTCCATTGTAGATGGGGTGCTACTGCCTTCAGCATAAAGTTTGACATCCTTATAACGTTAGACACATAAACGGGATCTCTGGGCCACTTACTACTTTTTCTAACTCATACAAATATGCAATAAACACACAGGCACACACACACACGAAAGAGGATTATGAGCAGGGATCTTACATGATGAAATTTGACTTCAAATTGATAGTTCTGCCTGTCTCTTTTGCCTGTGACACTCTTTCCTCAGAAGCATGGCATGGCCATCTCACTCACTTCCCTCAGGTCTCTGCTCAAATATCACCTTCTCAATGAGGTCTACTCTTACCACGCCATTTAAATGGCTCCTGGCATTCTACACAGCCTGCTCTACTTGTTTTTTTCCGTAACATTTTTGACTTTCTAACATATGGTTTACTTTTTAAATATATTTGTGTTTATTGCTTATTATCACTAGCCTGTGAGCTCCACGGGAATAGGGATTTTTGTTGTTTTTATTCGTTAATACATTTCAGTAGCCTAGAATAGTGCCTGACATACAGTAGGCATCCAAAAAACATTAATTGAGTGAGTGAATGAACCAATTAACAAATAAGTAGTAGTTAATAATTTTGTTTTCTAAAATGTCCACATTGGAAATATATGAATATGACACTCAGATTTTAATTTTTTGCAGAAATGGCTATTCATACAAAGTGGCAGTCGCATTGTCTCTTTTTCTTGGATGGTTGGGAGCAGATCGATTTTACCTGGGATACCCTGCCTTGGGTGCGTATGTTTCATTAAAAAAAAAATCCTTATGAAACCTACATTTTAGTGAATTGTATGTGTTCTTATAGATTAAATCTCTGTGTATTTATTATAAGTTCTTTATAATTGGAGTTGAGTAGTTAACATTCTTCTGTGAGTATAGAGCTATCAATTAGCCCAACAGTTCAGCTTAGGTAAGAAATACTCTTTTCCTGTTTTCACCTTTATGAAAACACACAGAAGATAGTGTAGGCATTTACTTAAGATAGTAGACTGGAACTGTCACTGCTAGTGCTGGGCACACACTGGATGTTTAGTAAATGTTTTATGAACAAATGTACATCCTCTACCACTCCAAAAAATATTTCCTTCTGCCCAAATCTCTTTCATCACTGCCCTGGGATTAGAAACTATGCACTTGGGCCGGGCGCGGTGGCTCACGCCTATAATCCCAGCACTTTGGGAGGCCGAGACGGGTGGATCACGAGGTCAGGAGATCGAGACCATCCTGGCTAACACGGTGAAACCCCGTCTCCACTAAAAATACAAAAAATTAGCTGGGCGTGTTGGCAGGCGCCTGTAGTCCCAGCTACTCGGGAGGCTGAGGCAGGAGAATTGCTTGAACCTGGGAGGCGGAGGTTGCAGTGAGCTGAGATCACACCACTGCACTCCAGCCTGGGTGACAGAGCAAGACTCTGTCTCAAAAAAAAAAAAAACAACTATGCACTTCTTTGAGAACAAGTTGGGGTTGGAACTTTGGTGACCAGCTTGAGCTGGAGTGGGAGCCCTGACTTCTATCACCCTTAGCCCCGCTCTCTATATCTTCCTTCTTGCTGTAATCACATTTACCGTAGTTACTAATGCTTATGAAAACTATTTACATTTTACGATAGCTTTTGTTTAAACAGTACTTTCACATGCCTGCCCTTATTGAAGCCTTACAACCCTCTGAGTTTATCATCCTCTTTAAATCCTCTTTAACAGGTAGGGAAACTGTCACCAGAGAGGTTAAGGGATTTACTGAGTCTAGAGGCTTTCCTTTATTCTGTGACATATTTGTTGTTATCATCTTTGTTTTATGGATAGGAAAATTGTCACGAGATTAAGAGATTTACCCAAGGACACTCAGCTAGTGACCTCAATTTGAACCCAAATTTTCTGGCTCCAGAGATCATGCTTTATTTACTGTAGTAGTCTGCTTCTATATTAGCCCTTCACTGAGCAAATTTAAAGTTTTTGAATGCTCTGCCTTTTAGCTAGCAAAGCTAACCTTATTTCTTCCATGTTGCTACCCTCAAAAGATCAAAGAGAAGTCTTCACTGTGGGGTTGATGGTAGGTATATTTCTGATAGCTGTACTAAAACTCAGTGTTGTAAGTTCCTAAGTAAAAGTCATAAAGTACTATATATACTTGTTTATTTAATTAAACATTCAACATTTAAATAACTAAATGATATGGAAATAATGATGAAGGTCACAGTGTATATTGGTTAAAAATAAAATAAACATGTTAGTAGGCCAATTTATGGTACAGCACTATAACAGAACCATAACAAAGTGCTGTGAGAGTAAGGAAAAGGGACTGACGCAGTTGACTGAAGGAAGTTCTTAGATGTGGTGACATTTGAGCTAGGTTTTGAAGGATGAAAAGATTACAGAGGTTGAAGGCATGGCAGGGAACAGCATGTGTAAAGTGTATAGGTGTACACTGAGAGATGAGGGGATAATTTAGCTGATCGTGTAGGAAGAACATTGCAGGAGGTGACACTGCCTACAGAGGTAGTCTATGGTCCGATTATAAAATGCTTTGAGTACCTTGCTGTGGAGTTGGGTCCTTTAGATATCAGAAGTTATCCTTTTAGGTATCAGAAGCAATAAAATATTTTTTCTTTTTCTTTTTTTTTGTGACAGGGTCTCACTCTGTTGCCCAGGCTGGAGTGCAGTGGTGCGATCTTGGCTCACTGCAACCTTAGCCTCCTGGGCTCAAGGTATGCTCCGTCCTCAGCTCTGCCCGAGCAGCTGGGACTACAGGCATGTACCACCACGCCTGACTTAATTTTGTATTTTTTTGTAGAGATGGGATTTCGCCATGTTGCACAGGCTGCTCTTGAACTCGTGGGCTCAAGCTGTCCTCCTACCTCAGCCTCCCAAAGTGCTGGGATTACAGGGAAGAGCCACAGTGCCTGGCCAATTTAAAATTTATAAATATTTTAAATAAATTTTAATTTCTATTAAGAATCCAAGGTTAAGAAATTTAGGCATTTTTATTTTAAATGATCACTGCCTTAAAAAAAATTCTTAACTACGTAATACAATGTTGACTGCAATGAAAGTAGTTATAGACAAAATCTAAAATTCAGTTTTTTGCCGGGTACAGTGGTGTGTGCCCATAGACTCAGCTACTCAACAGGCTGAGGTGGGGGGATTGCTTGAGGCCAGGAGTTTGAGGCCAGCAGAGACAACATGGTGACATAGTGAGATCCCATTTCTACAAAAAAGAAAAAAATAAATAAAAAATCCCATTTTAAAACTAAACTTACTTAATCTTTCTTCATGGTTATGAAAAGCAGTAGTCCTACTTAAATATAGCTTTTTTTTTTTTTTCCTTCATAGTGCTAATTATAAATCTGTTAGCCTCAGGGATTTGTTTATTCATTCACTTCAGTCTTCCTCTGGAATGTACATTCTGTTTTTTTTTTTTTTTTTTTTTTTTGAGCGGAGTTTTGCTCTTGTTGCCCAGGCTAGAGTGCAATGGTGTGATCTCAGCTCACCGCAACCTCCACTTCCTGGGTTCAAATGATTCTCCTGCCTCAGCCTCCCGAGTAGCTGGGATTACAGGCATGCGCCCAGCTAATTTTGTATTTTTAGTAGAGACAGGGTTTCTCCATGTTGGTCAGGCTGGTCTCAAACTCCCAACCTCAGGTGATCTGCCTGCCTTGGCCTCCCAAAGTGTTGGGATTACAGGCGTAAGCCAGTGCCTGGCCTCGAATATACATTCTTAAAGGCAGAAGCCTCATCTGTCTTATGCAAGTTGGTGTCCTAAACAGAACTTGACAGACGGTAAGACTCTGATAAATATTTGTCATATGAATATCAAAAAAGCTAGAAACAGGCTAAATGTTCACTAGGGAGGAACTGTCTCAAACAATTAAGGTACAGTGTATGACAGAGCAGAATACTATGCGCCATTTAAAACAGTGACATAGAAATATGTTTATTGGCAAAGTAATGTAATAACACCCATAACAGAGTAAGGAATTTAAGAAAATCTAGATATTTTGCTACAGAACCCCTTCTTAAGGATGCTTCACAAAAATGAACATGAGAGGTTTCTGCTAAGATAAAATATTAGATAAGGGAAGAATATCTTTGTTTGGAACTGGTAAATATTACCTACACCTGGAGTAATACATTTAAGGAAATTAGAGAACAGATCAGAGACGATATTTAAAAGTTTAAGGAACTAACAAATTTATAGTGACAGAAAGCAGATAAGTGCTTGCTGGGGAAAGACTGGGGCAAGGAGAGACAAGAAATAGAAATTACAAAGGGGCGTGAGGAAACTATTAGGGGTGACAGATATGTTCTTTTTTTTATTATAGTGATTGTTTCACAGGTGTTTACAAGTGTCAAATTTATCAAATAGTACATTTAAATATGTACATTGTATGTCATTGTATGTCATTGATGTCATTGTATGTCATTTTAATGTATGTCATTTATAGCTTAATAAAGCTGTTTTAAAAAATCAAGAGGCAATCCCAGCACTTTGGGAGGCTGAGACGGGCGGATCACAAGGTCAGCAGATCGAGACCATCCTGGCTAACACGGTGAAACCCCGTCTCTACTAAAAAATACAAAAAACTAGCCGGGCGAGGTGGCGGGCGCCTGTGGTCCCAGCTACTCCGGAGGCTGAGGCGAGAATGGCGTAAACCCGGGAGGCGGAGCTTGCAGTGAGCTGAGATCCGGCCACTGCACTCCAGCCTGGGCGACAGAGCCAGACTCAGTCTCAAAAAAAAAAAAAAAAAAAAAAAAAATCAAGAGGCTGGGTGTGGTGACTCACACCTGTAATTTCAACATTTTGGGAGGCCAAGGCAGGAGAATCACTTGAGGCCAGGAGTTCAAGACCAACTTGGGCAACACAGTGAGACCCTTGGAAATAGAAACTGCAAAGGAAAGAAGGAAGGGAAGGAGGAAAAAAGGAGAAAGGAAAAGAAGGAAAGAAAGAAAGAAAAGAAAGAAACTCCTGGAGTAACACATTTAAACTTACCAGTTCAGTGTTAAAAAAAAACTTGAAGGTTTAATCATTACAGTGACTTACAGCATATCTTACTCCAAACGTGTGATGTTAACTATGGTCTATCTATTTCTACAAATTTAAGGCAAAGGATGATTTTAGTAATGAAGTTCCCAATAATGCCACCTTAACCTCGTTTTACGTTTTCAAATATAAAAATACTTTATGAACACAGATAGGAAGGGCAATAAGAATTAAGCGAGGTAAGATACATTTGATAAATGTTAGCCCAGCAACAACTTTTGTTGTCACTATTTCTGCTACTACAGTTATTATAATTCAAAACCTTCATTCATCCCTGAGAGGTATGAGAAAAAAAATAAAAATAAAAAAAAGAAATTTAGGCCAGATGTGATGACTTGTAATCCAAGCATTTTGGGAGGCCAAGGCAGGAGGATCACTTTATCCCAGGAGTTCAAGACTAGCCTGGGCAACATAGTGAGACCCTGTCCCTACAAAAAATTTTAAAAAGTAGCCGAGCATAGTGGGTTACGGGGCAGGGATAGGGTGGCATGCGGCTTCAGACAGGCAGGTTAGGGAAGACTTCTCTAAAGAAGTGGCCTAAAAGGAAGAACAATCTTGAAAATGGCACAATAAAAGCCAAAGCCCTGATGTGATTACCTATTCTTCATGGATTAGCAGTTAAAGATATAACTTTAGAGGGACCATACTTAATATTCTCTCTCTTTTTTTTTTTTTTTTTTTTTTTTGAGACGAGGTCTCCCTTTGTTGCCCAGGCTGGAGTCCGGTGGTGCAGTCTCGGCTCACTGCATCCTCTGTCTCCCAGGTTCAAGTGATTCTCCTGCCTCAGCCGCCTGGGTGGCTGGGATCACAGACATATGCCACCATGCCTGGATAATTTTTGTATTTTTAGTAGAGACAGGGTTTCACCATGTTGGCCAGGCTGGTCTCGAACTCCTGACCTCAGGGGATCCACCTGCCTCAGCCTCCTGAAGTGCTGGGATTATAGGCATGAGCCACCGCACCTGGCCAGTGTTCTTTTTTATAAACAAATTGAAGAAAGAAAAACTATGACATTCTCAAATTTCTACTAACATGCTATGTGAAGAGGAATACATTTCGGAAATATAAAATACACTGAGTGGATAAAATCTCAGCAGACAATTTTCTTTGGGTTACTATAGTACCATGCAACTAATGAAAAAACGAAGGGAGTTATTATTAAGGTAATGGATGGAATGATGGGAGTGTTTGGGAAGCAGAAATATGAGAATATTTGTCAATTTATGCAACAAATATTGAGCATTTACTATGTGCCAGGCAATGTCGTTGGCACTAAGGACACAGGAGTAAAGAAAACAGATAAAAGGCCCTGCCCTAATGGGGCTTCTATGCGACAGATAGTAATCAAAGATAAAATGTTAGGTAAGTAAGTGTTTTGAGGAAAATGAAAAGCAAAATTTTTAGTTATTTCTGTATTTTAATAGTTATTAACTTATTGCCACCATGTTATTTCTGTACTTACAACATTATTCTGCTATATGTGGGGGAAAAAGTCATCTAATGTCCCAACATAGTTCAACCTTATTTGTGTATTCTCAGGTTGTGGGAGGTGATCTCATCCTCACAGGATTTTTAGCTGGCATCTATTTGTAGTTGATATATGGAACTACATTTTCACAAAGAGTCTTGTCTTACACCATTTGTATATCTCATATGAGATGTCTTGTAAGAAACTCAAGTTTAAATTCATAAGAGATTAATCATCCCACCCCCAGGCCACCCCAATCCGCCTCTTACAATTGTTTTTGGGTTATATTGTTGTAGATGTCTCATATTAGATACTCTGTTATCATCTATTTTAGCATCTGAGCTCTTGGGTTGGGACCAAGGACAAAGCCATATATAGTGATCAGCACAGAGTTGCTGATTTTGACTATAGAGCTAATAAACAGGAGATCCTTAGGAAAAGAAATATGTAAGATAAATTAAAGGTAATTGGATTGCTAATAAAATTTTGCAATTTTACAACAAGAGCAGTGTTTTTTCCTGATTTTTTTTTTTTTGGCATGACAATTTATATATTTTAACTCTCTAAATGTATAGTGAATTTTGGGTCACATAATGTATGAAGTCTAAATAAGTAATTAAGGATTTTAGGACTAAAAGATGTTTTGTAACTGGTGTATTGAGATTTAAAGATTATTTCCTTAGGCCTTTTCTCTTAGAAATTTTGTTAGATTATATTGAGGTTTTTTTTTCAGTTACTAATGTTTATTTGTTAAGGGAACTAACACATTATTTTTTGGCATTTCTATGTAGAGGGTTCCTTTAAACTCTTCTCATTTTCAGATGAAGATTTGATTTTTTAAAGTGTTACTTTTATGTTCTTGATATAAAGAGCATTATATATATATATGTAAAATAATGGTGTATTGGAAAATGGAACAGTTCGTTAATATTTAGAAGACTTTCCAGATTATAAATGACTTTACCTTCTTTTCTAGGTTTGTTAAAGTTTTGCACTGTAGGATTTTGTGGAATTGGGAGCCTAATTGATTTCATTCTTATTTCAATGCAGGTAAGTTTCTCAATCTAGAATATAAACTACTTTTACATTCAAAATTGAGTTCTGTGATCTCCTGTTATACTTAAAATGATTAGTATACAAGGAAACAGATATGAATGGTTGTTTTCATTTGTCTTCATGTACTAGTGCTCTACCAGCTAGTAGTTCTCAGAGACATAAGAAGTTCATTAAAAAATTCCATGCTCAAATATGATTTGTAAATGTGAGTTCAACTGAGTTAAAGAAGTTTCTTTACTGAATAACTTCTCAAAAGCTTTTTAATATATGTTGTCTCCAAGAGGGATTGTGGTTGTTTTTCAGACCATTTCTTTTCCTCATAGTTACTGTCACCTTGTCAATTACCATAAAAGCATTGATAGGATTCTGTTATACATATGGACATTGTGGAGGCAGAGACAAGATTTTCTTTTGCACTGGACAGGCCTTCTATACTAGTATTGTGTTGTTTGCAAATTACAGAAACTGAAATCCAGCTAGCTTAAGCTAAAAAGGAAAAAAAAAGGCGGGGGGCGTTCTTTAGAAAATCTGAGAATGTAGACCAGATATGTATAAACAAATGATACACATGTTTGGGGCTCTCCTGATAACTTATCTTGCTTTTCTCCTTAGCCTCATTTTCTCCTGCTGCAGTGAGGCTGGGGGCAGGCATAGTTTGTGAAATGCTGTCCGTAACATTTGAAAGTGCCACCAGATGTTTTCTGTTAAATTATGTAGAACTGATTGTGGTTAACTCATGAGGATTCTTAGAGAAAGAGATGAATTTTTCACAACAAATGTTGACAAACAGCATTTCAACAAGCATTTATGGAGCACCTAACATCTTCAGCAAGTGTGTCAGTGTGCATTTAGAGCATCATCTGTTTTGCTCTGCTTTCTCATATAGTATTTCCACTCTTCAATTCTGTCTGCTTGATGTTATCATTATGCTTTAAAAGAAAGTCACAATCTAGGAGATTGGGATACCATACTGTGAGGAGGAGGCAGCATATGGACCAATAAGATACCAGAATTAAACAAGGAAAATATTTAGTTTTAAAGTTGGAATTTTCCTGTCTGTACTCGTAAACATATGCCTAACCAAATATCCTGCCTTTTCTGACTGTGGGACAGGCATGCAGGCATGAAGAGGCTAAGGTACTTGTGCACATATGCTTAGAAATGAGTTTCTCACTTTCAGTGAGGATCCAAGGAATTTAATGTATTATTGGGATTCTTTGAGTTAAGATACCCACAATTCAAAGTGTCTTTGAAACTAAACCATTTAGTTAATATTTTCATGCTGGGTTCTTTCTTTGGTGATATTATTGCATTGTAGCTTTAGTTATATCAAATTATAGAACTATAGAACTAATTTGATTCAGCCACTGCTTTCTGATTCATTTATACCTGAACTTTTTACAATAAAAACTTTTTTTTTTTTTTTCTTTGAGACAGGGTCTCACTCTGTCGCATAGGCTGGAGTGCAGTGGTGTGATCTGAGATCACTGGCAACCTCTGTCTTTGCCTCCTGGGCTTAAGCGATCCTCCCACCTCAGCCTCCCAAGTAGCTGAGACTACAGGTGTGCACCACCATACCCGGCTAATTTTTGTATATTCTGAAGAGATGAGGTTTTGCCATGCTGCCCAGGCTGGTCTCCTGAGCTCAAGCAATCTGCCCACCTCAGCCTTCCAAAGGGCTATTATTACAGGCATGAGCAACTGCACCTGGCCTCTAGTTATTTAACTTAAAGATCATCTGGGATTAGGAGTTTATCACATTAAGAAATAGAGTGTGTAAACATCTGCAGTAAATTTCCCTAAATAAGACATTTTCACAGGTATGGTCAGTTTAGACTGCTTTCAAATTGAGGGAGATTATAATAAATCCATTTCAAGCATAGCCAAATAAGATGGGTAGCCTTATTCTTCATGTCATTTAACATATTTCACATTTGATGTTGACATCATCAGTTTTAGAGGAGCATTCCTGGGCTCGAGTGATCCTGTCATCTCAGCCTCCCAAAGTGTTGGGATTACAGGCATGAGCCATTGCGCATGGCCCTGGCTCATTTTTTTGTTTATTTTTCTTTCCTTCCCCATTCTCTCCATGACTCACTCACTCTCTCTTTCTCTCTTTCTCTCTTTCTTTCTTTTTCTTTCTTTCTTTCCTCTCTCTCTTTCTTTCCTCTCTCTCTCTCTTTCTTTCTTGCCTTTCTTGTCTTTCTATCTTTCTTTCTTTTTTGCCATTAAATATTATTTCCCAATGAGTAGCAATGTGTTTCTGTTGGACTGTGATCCCATAAATGTATCGGGCATGGATTCAAGACCTATAAAAAATACCATACTTTGTTTCACAGTGTTTATAACAAAAATCGAAGAGTCTAGTTATAGTTTGTCTTTGAACAGAAACAATACAAAGTGTAATGCCCATATTGTTAAAGTAAGCTTTACATGTCGCTGTATTTACTGAAAATACTTTTATGAGTTTGTCTATTTGTTATTAAACTTTGGAAGTTCTACTTTTTGTTCCTAAAAATATACAGATAATATGAATGATGATGCATGGCATGAAATAATACATAGAATACAGTCAAGAAAATCTAAATCAATGATACATGTATAGCATACCATCCTTCAGCTGTGGGTAACTATTGTTTATAACTACTACATATATAGTTATTCATAAGGTAGTTTTGAAGATTTAAAGACACTCATTCTTTTATGCCATATAGATATATATATATATATATATTTTTTTTTTTTGAGATGGTGTCTTCATCGCCCAGGCTGGAGTGTGGTGGCTCGATCTCGGCTCACTGCAACCTCTGCCTCCCAGGTTCAAGCAATTCTCCTGCCTCAGCCTCCCAAGTAGCTGGGATTACAGGCACACACCACTACGCCCGGGTAATTTTATATTTTTAGTAGAGATGGGGTTTCTCCGTTGGTCAGGCTGGTCTCGAACTCCTGACCTCAGGTGATCCACCCACCTTGGCCTCCCAAAGTGCTGGGATTACAAGGGTGAGCCACTGCCCCCAGCCTCCTTATATTTTTATACATGTCATGAAAGATAGATTAGACAATACAAGGTTTTTATCAGAAAAATGAGAATGTTTTTTGATTGTATAACTCTTTCCTCATTCATGCAATCTGGGCTTTTTTTTTTTTTTTTTTTGAGGTGGAGTTTTGCTCTTGTCGTCCAGGATGGAGTACAGTGGTGCGATCTCGGCCCACTGCAACCTCTGCCTCCCAGGTTCAAGCGATTCTCCTGCCTCGGTCTCCCAAGTAGCTGGGATTACAGGCACATACCACTATGCCCAGCTAATTTTGTATTTTTAGTAGAGATAGGGTTTCACCATGTTGGTCAGGCTGGTCTCGAACTCCTGACCTCATGTGATCCGCCTGCCTTGGCCTCCCAAAGTGCTGGGATTACAAGTGTGAGCCATCATGCCTGACCTGGGCATTTTTAATTATACCAAAACCACTGATGTATATTCTGCAAAACAAAAGGAAAAGAAAGTCTCCTATGTTAAGTGGAGACAAACAGCCACAAATCAGAAAGATGAGGATGTGTGGAGGGAAAATGGAAATAAGTGTTATAATGTAGAAAGTTATTGGAAGTATGCTGGGTTCTTTCTTTGTCACAGTTTTTTAAAGATTCTGTTCATCATGGAAGAAATTGCTTTTCATTCCTATTAATATAACAGAGTGGATTTCCTTAAAGGACTAGTAACCATGTAAGCAGCAGAAATTCAAAAAAGTAGCATAATGTCTGAAACATTTATGAATTTTATAAATACATTTAACAGACTGGTAAAGTATGTTTCATGAATTTGATATTTATTATATGCCACTCTAATACTATATGTACTGCTTTGTATTAGTTTTTAACTTTTAAACAATGGATTTGACTTTTCACTCATAATTTTTTTGAGGAAAAATGACTTTTATTAATCTCCTATAGTACCAGTAGTATGTTAAACAGAGTATGCCCTCAAAAATTTTTGCTGATTTGGAACTGTATGCAGTATGCCTTATACAAATTGTGGCTTTGTGCCGAGTACAAGCAAGATGAGATGCTGAAAATGGTAGTTTTTTAAAAAGTCATTGTTTTCCTGTAGGACCTGTTTTAGTTCATTTGGGGCTATAACAAAACACTTTAGACTGTATTATTTCTTTCTTTTTTTTTTTTTTTTTGAGACTGAGTCTTGCCCTATTGCCCAGGCTGGAGTACAGTGGTACAATCGTGGCGCAATCTTGGCTCACTGCAATCTCTGCCTCCCAGGCTCAAGCGATTCTCATGCCTCAGCCTCCTGAGTAGCTGGGATTACAGGTGCTTACCACCACACCTGGCTAATTTTTGTATTTTTAGTAGAGACGGGGTTTCATCATGTTGGCCAGACTGGTCTTGAACTCCTGACCTCAAATGATCCACCCACCTTGGCCTCCCAAACTGCTGGGATTACAAGCATTAGCCACTGTGTGTGGCCTAGACTAGATTATTTCTAAATAATGGAAAATTATTTCTTATAGTTCTGGAGGCTGGGAAGTCCAGTATCAGGGCACCATCAGGTTCAGTGTCTGGTAAGGGCTGTCTGCTTCATGGATGGTGCCTTCTATATGTGCCCACATGGTGTAAAGGATAAGGTCATTAATCCCATTAATGGATGGTGGAGCCCTAATGACTTAATAACTTTCCAAAGGCCCTGCCTCTTAGTATGAACACATAGGGGGTTAGACTTCAACATAGGAATTTTATAGGGACACAAATATTCACAACATAATAGGGCTAAATTCCTAAATTTCACAGTGTCACTTGAGAGGTAATGAATAAAAATGAGAGTTGATGTGATAAACTATAAATTATGCCGTCATTGGAAATCGTTTTAGTGAGCACCAACTTAGGTATAATAACATGGGGTCCTTGCCCTAGAGGAACCTATGATCTTTTCCAAGAATAGTCTGATAATAGATTCCATTTATTTTTGGAAACAAAATATTTCCAGATAAATGCC